TCCACGGTGTTTCAGTTCAGTCAAATTCGGTATCAGCATTCGAGTGAGTAAAGTCTCAGTTTCCACACCATAACGGGTTCGATGCGTAATAAAATGAGAGAAAAAAGATAAGACATCAGGTTTTCCAGCTGAGTAAACAGTTACGTAATTCTGTGAAAGACCTTTCAAGATCAACTAGCAGACTAAGGAGATATGACAAAACAGAATAGCGATAGGCGGTCAGACGAATGGCAAACTGCTTCAAATTTGATCGTTTAGAGGATGAAAATACAGTTTTTGAAAGTTTTCTGCGCAATAGATTATGCTTATTGAACAATAGTTGGGTGATAAAATTTCCATATTCAGCAGGGGTGTCTGTCGGTTGGTGGAAGTGTCCACAACGATGTGTCTGGGTAAGCCACCGCATGCGTTTTATTGGCTTGCCCGTAAGACTTTTTGACAAACCAGGGAACAATAGAACCAGTGAGTGGAGACAGGTATTCCGGAATTTCACAACCGACTTGCGAGGAGTGGAGGGTATTCGAGACGAAAAATAACAACTTTCTGGTTTCAGAAAACGACTCTTGAGGGTGCATCAACCAGAATAAGTTGTACAATATTATTCCACTATTGTTGAGATTGTTGAGGGTTCGTTGACTCAAGATATGGAGTTCAACCTACTAGTGAAGAACTTAGTCGGTTCACCGGTGGGCAAAGAAAACACCCTAACACTAAGAAGCATTTATTAAAAGGGATCGGAATTAGTACCCGTTCAAAGCATTGATGAGTTTGTTGCCGTATTTTTAAAGCCAGTTGACGATGGATGGTCCACACCCCTCAACAGCATCATTGTCACATTTACAGGATGAGGAGGATTCTAGCCGCTGCAGTCTATTAAATGGTCCAGCATCAACTTTGCATGCATCCAAATCAAAACCACTTTCGTCGAACAGATTGAGCAACACTAATCAATGAAGATTAACAATCAGTAGTAACATTCAATCTGTTCACCGAAAGTGGTGTTGATTCGTGTGTCCCCAGGTTAGAAGTGGAACAAAAAATAATTGTGGTTTGGGGCTCCGTGTTGAGGTGCTTATTGCGCATGCCACTAAATTAAATACTTCGGCGTGTTGCGCTCATTGATCTAGTCAACCGTCGGAGTGGGTTTGGTTTTACGAAATGCTCACGATCATCTACTCAACTTCCATCGGGGCATACGCACAGATTTTTTTTAACTACACACCTAAGTTTGATATAAATTGTGATGTATTAGCCTGTAGAAGAATCAACGCAAACGAGCTTGTTCGCTACTTTGTGTTTTCACACACTTAAGTGTGATGAACAGCGAACGGGGAAAGTCACGAAGACCTGCTGTTCAGTGATTTTACCCGGCAACCTAAACCCCTAGACTTGGAGTGGCGAACCACAGAAGGCCCCGATAGGTTAAGCGTGGTATTAAACCGCATGACAGCAAAGCTGTCTGCCACCAAAGTCGAGTGGCGGTGGCCAGGCTCGAACCTCGGATCATAGGGTCCAAAGCACGCCGATGACAGCGACTAAACCACTGCGCCGCCACCACCTAGTACTGAACGGTTCATATAAAGCGGATAGGTGATCGATGCATATTAAGGTAACAACATGGAAAGTGTAAACAGAGAAGACAAACTGAAAATCCTGAGGAATGTATTTATTTATCCAAGGGTGTATGCATGCACTGCCAGGTAACAGTCCTCCAAAAATCCCAATCAATTAGTAAATTATAAAACCGATTTTCGTTTTTTCCGGGTATGATTTCCGTTTGGTTCAGTTTTTACAACCATCAACCATGCACTTTTCTGCGCCGGTTTTGGTCACTGTCTTTTGGTTGCCCATTTGGATAAAAGAGCAAAATGTAGATTGGAATGTTGAAGCAAATTCAAGCGGAAGGTGGGGAATTCATATACAGTGGTGTTAGGAGAATAACGAGTGGATGCACGAACGCCAC